GCAGGTTGCAGGGCAGCCAAAAGGGCAGATATCAGGGGCAAGATAGGTGGGGGGGGGGGGGGAAGCCCCCCTGGGACGGTAAGTGTGGCAAAACTGCCAAGCACCCAAATTTTGATCACATGAACGGGGGCACTACAATGGCCATAAGTTCAGGGACTAAGTACCATTTGTTCAGTGCTGCCGTAACTTTGGATGGTCACTGAACAAATGGTCTTAAGTTGAGGACTACCTGTAAGCTTTTTATAACCAGTTGTTTTTCTAAACCTTGATATAGAAAATGTTAGGGATTTGGTTAGGTGAATGGTATGCCACGCCAGCCTACTTCCGTAATCTCTTCATGTTTTGTTAGTCTGTTTTAATCTATAAGACTAACATGCACAAGAAAAGGTAGAAAACTGTCCTATTGCCTCAAGGAATGATTTAAACATAAGCACGATGCATTTAAAACTCAGGAGGTGTACATCACACTGAAATTCAACAGTGTACTACAAAAATTCATAATGCGTGCTTGATAACTGGTAAACTAATAGCTTAGCTAAAACAGAGTCACATGAAGAGATGTTGGTATGTAGGGCAATACTTTAGATACCGTGGACTTAATCTATACAAGTATGTACACGCATATACTAGGTTTGCAATGCCCCTTGCCGTTCTGTCACACAACGAAAATTGTCCCAGGTAACAATTCTGCAGGAGGCGACGGCAAGCCACTTCCTGAATGGTGCCAAGACGACCGCCGGGGCTGGTCCAGGCAGTCGCCAGGAGTCAAAAAGATTGGCTCGAAGGCACACACAGAACAATTCTGGGCAACCCTAATGCTGCACACATCCCCCGTCTTAGAATTTTATTTTATTTCTTAGTTTTCGATAAATAACACTCCGCTTCTTATCTTTACAAGCAGAGTTTATGCCGGTAACGGTAGTGGCAACACTATTCCGCAGTATCCTTTTAGCCTGTGCTTTATATCCAGCCAGCCTCTTTTTTAAAAAAAATTAGCTTACTTGTTTAGCTTCTATGCGCACAATTAACAAAACAATCTTTCATCTTAAGGTATCACAACATTTCTGCCATACTCACACATATTGCCGCACCCTTTGATTAGTAGAAAATATGGCCTTTTTCAAAACAGATAAATCACACATTTCCAACAACCATTCTTGACATCTGGAATAATATCCCTTGTCCAATTCCTTCATGTAATTCTTTTAGCCACCCCCATGCTCGACACAACCACAATCCTTATAAGCAGTCAAACTGCAAAGCTTTGGCATGGAATTCAACATTGTATTGACATCTCTGGCCTTCCTCTTTTTCCTTTTAAACAGTGCACTGGTTGCCTTGCCCCGCACTGGTCTTTGGCCAAAATCAGCTTGGAACTAACTGACATCCTCTCCTCTAATCCTGCCTCGTCCTTATGGCGTAGAAATGCCTCTGGGGGTCCCGTGAAGTGGTCAGCAAAGACCTTCCCTTCATCTGCCTCCTCTTTTGGGGGCTCCTCCCTGACCGGAGGCTGCTGGGAGGGTCACGCAACTTACTTTCATTTGGGCGAAGACGTGCCACGCTGATCACTGGGGTCTGAGGTGGGACTGTAAGAGAAAAGCAAATCCTCCAGCTGAGAAATCCTTTCCAACAGAGATCGGGAGAGAATCAGATCCCACATTACGTATGTCTGTTCCCTGGAGCTGATCCCCCAACCTCTTCTCTTCAATGCCCCCCCTCTTTTTCCTATAACATTTCTTTGCTGCAGATACTAAGGATTGGCCGCCATTTTGATGCGATAACATCCACCTGCTTAGCTGAAGGGTCACAAGTGCCAGCCCTGGATGAATGCTGCGTTTTGTGGCAGCAGCAGCCGTCATTACTGGAGTCCCCCATTGGGAGGAGATGGGCGGGGGAGAAATTTGATTAAATAAATGAATAAATAAATAAATAAAATACGATCTTTCTTGCTGCTGCTTCATGCAAGTTGCTTTATGGTGCTTCTGCAGCACATGGAGCAAAGGAAGGCCTGTTCCTTCCAGGTAAGGGCAGGCACTTCTTCACCACCTCAAGGACATGTGGAGAGGTAGGCTGACCAACTGAGCTAAAGGCATTGCACCAGTTTTGCCCTCAGTTCCCCTGTTTGTGAGGAGAAGCAATTCCCTACATGCGCTAGAATGTCTCCGTCACCTTCTCCCCACAAGCTAGAGAAGAAAGACACCTCTGAAAGGCAGCCATATTGAGTGGCCGAGAGAACAGCCAACTGTGGGACTCGGCTCTCTGATGCAAAGGACCAATGACATGACTCTCAGTTGTTCAAAACAGAAATGAGCTGGAATTGCCGGGGGACTCATTCCCACTGCTGGAGCTAATTCTATCCTATGCGGATCTAGAACGAATCACTCACAGTTAACATCCAGCTGGACAGTTTTCTCCTTGGACACAGAACTGGACCCATTTCTGTAGGTGACCTTGCAGGTGAGATTCCGGTTGTGGTCTGCTACTGAAGGCAAGAAGTCCAGCACTGAGCTGTAAACCTGGCTCCCATTCAGCCACAAATGAAAGTTGAGGTTTTTGGAAAAGGCTTTCCAGGTGAACTTTGGAGGCTGCCAACTGCAGCTTCTGAAGGTTGCACAAGTGATGTTTGCTGGATGTCCTACACGCAGCTTCCCCAGGATCTGTATTTCTGGTGCTTGTCTGTCTACGAAGAGAAGGGAGGGGTCAGGAGAAAGCTAGTCCAGGCCTATATTCTCCCCCTTTCACTCAGCTTCATCTCCAGACTCCTTCCCCTTTCAAACAAGATGGACCCATCGAGATCTTATCCCTATCTTGAAGCGCAAGATTTTATGCAACTGGATGTGGCCACAGAAGTTCTATATTTCAAGCATCTTTAACTGACAGATCTGAAATCCCTATATAATTTTGCAATGCAATATTAATCCATTGTGTTCATTCATTTTAAGTTACATTTTCTTTTCTAAATTCTCTGTTCTGCATGTAAGAAAACAGAGGTCTATAGGATATGACCAAGAAACAGAACTAAAGATGTTCTGATTGTTCAATGGGAATTGCTTTACTTGCCTTTAAGGATTGTCAGTGAATGGTACTTGGCACTAAA